AAGGAAAACAATACTCAAGTAGAAATTTCACGGTGAGGCTATAAAGAGGCTTCCAACACCTTCAACCTTGTTCTCCGTTGGGTCAAATCCCTACTGCTGCTCCTCTGCGGCGGCCGACGTTGGAAAAACTTAACTAACATTCTCAAATTCATCAGTTTAAGACAAATGAGTTAATTATTATGGCCTTAGTTCTCTGTTTTTGAACCCTTATCATCTCTTTTCCTTTTATTCTTTTTGCTATCGATTTAACCTTTAATTGCAAAGCAACAGTTATCTGTGGAACATTTTCAAGAAAAAAAAATCATCAAATTATTATAGAATGATTAATTTGAGGGTCAGATTCTAACAAATTTTTTTTTTTTTTGAGGTTTAGAGCTTTATCCCAATCTCCTCAACTAACATTTATCTAGCATGGTATCACAAATGATAAAACATAATTAGTAACAGGATTTTTTTCCTACTGACCAGCTGATAATTTTTTTTTCCTAAAGAATAAGTTAATTTTAGTAACAGGATTTAAAAGTCTCAATATTAAAAGAGAATATAAAAACACACCCAAGCCTCAAAAGTCCGATGTAGGACAAGGAGGAGGCAAACACGTTTCTTTTTAATTAATCAATGTAGTTCCATAAACCCAATCCTTGATGCTATTGGGAAACGGAAATAAGTTTGCCCCCATGTTTAGTTGAAGAAAGGAGCAAAACCCTGCGGCAAACCCAACTCCATCCCCAAATCAAACCACATGTCAAAATCTTGGACATCTTTACCGAATTGGTGTCATGACCCGAACTTAGCAATTTGTATTAGTTCAAGGACTAAGTTATAGAAATTAAAACGTCTGGGGACTGGAGTGAAAATACTCAGGGACTGATCTGTGTTTAACATGAAGTCCAGGGACTGATCTGCAAATCTCAGGAAAACCAACAGGAGCTGCGTTCCAATGATTTCCTCCGCCGGATTTGCAGGTTTTGTACAATGATGTTTCCGTGTTTTTGCTTCCTCGCGTGCGTTTTTGAAGCCCTTATCGAACCCCTCAAACAATTTCAACTTTGGAGCAGGGAGTGAGGAGAGATTTTGAGTTTTTGTGCTTCGTCCAGTCGCGAGTGGCCGAAGGGGAGATCCAGGATTTGGGAGCTGTTCCTCGCCTTTTTACTCCGTTTGATCGTTGCTGGGAGGTCGCCGGGGTCGGTGTCGTGCTTTGGGCTGCTTGATCGGCCGAGGTAAGCCGTCTTGCCTAGTTGTTCTTCGTTTTTCCCGGACGGCCGGGAGTTGCAGGCAACCGGGTTGAATACCCAGTTGCCAGGTGAGAGAGACGGACCCGGAAGGGTCCGGGTCCGTGTGTTGGGCCAGCCCAGTGGGCTGGGCGGCCCGCGGGCTTGAACCGCGGGCCAAGCAAAAAAAAAAAAAGAAGAAGAAGGAAAAGAGTTTGAGCCGGCCCAGGCGGGCCCGAGCTGCGTCGAGTCGAGCCACTGGGCTGGCGGCTCAAGCCGAGCCGCGAGCTGCGGCTCGAGCCGAGCCGACTTAAAAAAAAAAAAGGGTTTTGACTGAACCGGCAGAGGGTTGACTGGCCAATTCAGTGGCCAAATCAACTTGGAATTTTGTTTTTTGACTGGTTCTGGATTCGGGGGGATGAAACCTATCAAACCAAGTGGGTTCGGGAAATTTTGGGTGACCGGTTCGAGGTAAATCGGCCTCGTTTTGCGTGCTGATGATTAGAGTTTGAGTTCTTGGATGGTTCATATTGGTTCCTAGGGTTTTTGAGGCCTCTAAATCCATTTTCGAGGGTTTCGTGCCCGTTTGAGTTGAGCTTAAGGTAGTTTTAGGCCAGCTAGGCCGGTTTGGGGGTCTTTAGAGGCTAGTTCGCTGTGTTTGGCAGACTGTGGAGAGTAGTTCTATTTTGATTGAGGGTTTTGAGCTGGTTTATTATATGTTGAGAGTCACGTAGATTTCAGTGGACAGTCTCGATGTCTCGAGATGCGTGCCAGAGTGTCGATTTGGTTTTGAGCCAGTTTGAGGCTACGGGGCCTGTTTCTTGTACCGAGTTTGAGGTTGGTTATGTTTCTATGTGGTTTTGTTTTTTCAGATACGTCTGAGGAGGTACACCCGGATCGACGAGACGGGTGAGGGTGATCGGGACTTCTTTCTTGACTCGTTTTTGTACTGTGAGTGACGATACCTTTTCTATACTTGTGTTTCCATACTGTTTTATTGGCATGATGATTATGTGACTTCTTAACTGTATCTGGACTGTGTATGTGTCCTTGTGTACTATCAGTGAGCTGTATTGATATGTTGTTATGAGATTTGGAATATGAACCGTATGTGCTTATGTATACCTGTTTGTGACCGATGTGTGATGATGGTCCCACGTGATGTGATTTGGACGGAAGGAGCTCGGCTGGACGTACGGTGACCCGTAGTGTCCAGTGGTGAGTCGGCCTGAGTCCTTGTTGAGGCAGTAGGGGCTGCGAGTATGATGTGCACATTGATGACATGTCTGGGATGGTAGGCTCAGCCAACGGACGGTGGGCCATAGCGTACGAGGAGTGCCTTGGTTTCCGTGTCAGGACGATTTTTGGGATACCGAGGACTCGCCCGGCGTGCGGTGTGCTGCCGTAGCGTGTGGGGAGTATTCTGGCCCAGTGGATGTGATGTGATGGGTTGGTTACAGTGATACTTTGCATGTTTATTTACATATTACTGCTCACTGGGATTACTTGTGTATATGTGATATTTGTTTGAGACACGTTGCATACTCTAGCATGTATAGTCTAGGTATCGTCTGTACTCACTAAGTCTCGCGACTTACAGTTTTAATTTTTCAGATCTGACTTGCTGTTCCTGTCTCGGTTAGCGCGCTAGAGCCGGAGTTAGGCAGTGGCAGCTTTATCGATGTATGGGCATATTTCCTTTTGTATTAATTCCTTGTATTTTAGAGTAGCTCTTTTGAACTCTCAGACAGATCTTGGTATTCGTGTATGAGAACAACGCACTGTGGTTTATATAGTATTGAGTTGTTATATTGGTTGTTTCAAGCTTACTAGGGCTAGTGGACCCTAATGCCGGTCACGTGCCCGGGTCGGGGCGTGACAATTGGTCTCTCTTTATTATTCGTACTCTTATCTACTACTTTTCTAAAGAGAGAGGTCCACAGAGCCCAGAATCAACTATGAAACTAGTTTCATTGAAACTTTGAAGTTGAGTGCTTGAAGGGATTTTTCCCACTAGTTGTCCAACAAGTCCTAGACGCCAAAAAATGTTAACCATTTCGTGTTTCTGGAATGTCACCCAAAGTATGGTTTCCCGAGAGATCATGAGATAAACAACAACGAATTGGATATAATAATTATTTTTGAAAACAACCATAGTATTGATGCTTGGAATGGCCATGCAGCAATCAGTAAAGACAACACGGAAGAACATCAGAGTTTTGCCGACACTTTAAGAGAAATAAACTAGGCAAAAAATATACTAAAAGAGACAACATAAACCACGGACTCCAACTAAAACAGTAAATAGCAGAAACACACTGAACAAGATCCAAGCCACCAAGTTGACTACGCTGCAGTTGCCCTGTTCCACACCTAGAGTCAACAGAAGAGTTAGCCTCCCTGAATCAATTTATCTGTTCGTCAAGGAAAAATAATATTTTTTAACATAAATAGATTTGCACAAGGCATATTAAAAATTTTACAAGACCATCATTTTTATTTAATTTTATTTTATTTTTTTCCTCATCTCCTGTTCTTTTCAATTCTCATTTCCCTGTTCAATGTGTTCATTGCATCCAGGATAGATATTATCGTTCTAATTCAAAGTCGGTTTATTTAATTTTTTGGCAAGGTTGGAGCTTGATGTGTATATTCATCATTGATATCTAACTCATACTTCTTTTTTTGTCATTATATTTTTAATTAGAAAATGAAAATTACATATTCTATTAAAACGTAGATCTAAATTTAATTTGAAAACATAATCTATGGATTAATGATGAAATGTAAGTAGTACAAATTTATTAAAAATGAACCAAAGTGCAGAGGTGTTATTAGATGGAGACACCAAAAAGCCTTTCTACCCATGCTATTGAAAACGTTCTTCAGTGTGTGGGAAAGGCATGGGTATCGGGATTATAGTTATTTGGATAATCCCTATTTTAAGAAAATATTTTTGGTGTAATTCAATAGTTAAATTGAAAATAGACATACGAGTTTATTTGTGAAATAATTGGGGAAAATTGGAAATTTGCGAATTGGAATCTTGAATTCATTGAAATTGTTTTATTTCTAAATCATCCTCCTTTGCAATTGAAGAAGAATTTGAAGTGGACGCTGATTCTCTTCTTTCTTCATGTTCGAAATAATAAAGTAATATGCATTAGCTTTATGGCAAATACTAGATCACAGGGGTGTTCATGGTTAGGTTTGGTTAGATATTCAAATTTAAATAAAATTATAATTTATAGTTTTAGTTTTTAAAATTAAATCAAATAATAATTTGTAATTTGTAAATATAATGGATTAAATTTAATATTTTTATAAAAATTTTAACAAAGTTTTTTTTTTTAAATCAAACATCCAACCAACTATAGTAATTACACATTATATAACAAATATAGTTATACATTATAATAAAATTTTAATTATACTAATAAAAATTATTCTTTAGAAAAGACATATAATCAACTATAAGAAGAAGTATAAATATAAAAGATAATAGAAAAAAATAATATATAGTCAAATAATAAAAATAAATAATATATTAAAAATAAAATTTTTAATTCTATATATATATATAAATAGTTTGATTTAATTTGATTTGATTTATATAATTTATTTAAATATCAAGTATTAAATTAAATTATATATAAAAAATTTCATTACAAATTAAATTAAACCAAACCAAATCAAATTATGATTTAATTGATATGAGTGATTTGATTTAGTTCGTTGCACAGCTTACCATATTGATATTAAGTAGTAGAAGTAAACAGTGGAGTGTTGTTACCTCGTTGAAGATGGTAGCTTTCGATCAACACCAGTAAGTCTCTTGAGCATCCTCCCCACCTGCTTCATTTTTATCACTGTAGTTACATAGATCCAATCCTTCACACGATCAAGGAAGAGAAAATAAGCATGTCTCCAGGTTCGGTTGAAGAAAAGAGAAGCACAAACTCCGAAAAAGCCAGCGGCAAATCCAGGCCACATTCCCTTGTAGAACCACAATATTTCAGACTCCTCGACAACGTCAACAACTGGTATCCCTCCTTGAGATTGATTTGTGCATCTTTTCGACAAAGGAAGTCCACAAAGTTCGGCATTTCCAGCGAAGCAAGTTTCATTAAAACCCTGAAGTTGGGTGCTAGTCGGAATTTTTCCCCACAAGTTGTTGTTTGACAAGTCCAATACTCCTAGAAATGTTAATCTCGTCATACTTTCGGGAATTTCACCAGTAAGATTGTTGTTTGAGAGATCGAGAGATTCCAAATTCACCATGTTGCCCACATTCTCCGGTATGTGCTCAACTAATTTATTGTGAGACTAGTTTAAAGTGTGTAGATAGGCAAGACTTGAAATCTCACCAGGATTGGCCCAGACAAGAAGTTGCTTGAAAGGTCTATACTTCTCATATATCTCAGATTACTTTTGTACTCTAATTTTGCCCCTTTTGAGATCAACTCTAACTGTCCTTCGTAGTAAGCATAGCCATATGCGTAAGTTTGAAATGGTGGTCCATTTCCAGTAGCCATATCACTCATATTATTTAGGCATTTTGGTATGCTTCCCACTAGTTTATTATTGGACAGATCCAGAATAACCATATAAGAGAGTCGGCATATTTGTGGGGGAATGTGACCAGTAAATTTGTTGGATGTTAGCCTGAGAGCCAAGAGAGTCATGTCTCCAATCCAACTTGGTATGACTCCCGTAAACTTATTTTCACCCAAATCAATCAACCCTAAAGAAGAACAGTTTTTTAATGACATACTTACATCTCCCTCTAAGTGATTCTTGTGCAACCATAATGATTTGAGTTGAGATAAATAACCAATCGATGCGGGGATACTACCGGATAGGTTATTTTTACCCAGGTTCAGATGGGTCAATGATGACCAGTACATCCAACAGCCAGGAAGTTTGCCAGTCATGAGATTATTTTCCATATCTAGAATCATAACATTATTTTCCCAATATGATGCTCGGCAAAGAAAAGAGGAAATATTCCCCGAGAGAGCATTATTTGCAACATTATACATGACGACATTTGATGAAAATTGTGGCGGTTGACCTGTGAAATTATTGGAACTCAAGTCCACGTAGGTTGAATTTAATAAAACATGGGATAGACTGCCACCAATATTGTTCTGAGAAAGATCAATTTCTGACCAGTACCCCATACTTGAAGCCCAGTCCCAAAACCAATCTGGCACTATGTCTGAAATTTCTGAATTTGAAATTGTCAAGGTTCCAAGAGATTTTTGTGTCCTTAGCCATGCAGGAAAACTTGGACCCATTTTATTGGATACTGATACGAAAGCTTCAAGTTGAAACGGAGGAATCCAACTAGCGTTAACGTTGAAGAATAAAGAGTTGAAAGATATATCAACAAATGTCAGTTTTGTGAGTGTGGCAAAATTCAATTCAGAAACTATTTCTTCAAAGTGGTTGGAGCTGAAGTCTAGCACCTTTAAATTGGAAGGAAGCCCTGTACTCATAGGAAGTGTTCCATTGAGTTGATTGTTGCCAATAGCTAATCTCCATAAGGATGATAAATTTCCTAGAGCTTTTGGAAAAGGACCAGTCAATTTGTTGTTGGACAAATCAAGATATTGGAGGTATTCCAGTTGTGCAAGCATATCTGGGACTTCACCATAGATAGAGTCGTAACTTAGATCAAGAAAACTAAGGCTACTTAAATTGAACAACCAGTTTGGTAGCATGAAATTTAAACTGTTATTTCGTAGACTAAGAACTTGAAGGTTCGTAAAATTGACATACCCGAGAGATGGAACCATGCTCTGAAGTCTGCATTCTGACAAGTATAGTTCAGAAAGAGAAGGAAGCATACTGACTGCTTGAATCCATTTGCCTTGAATGTTGATCGAAATCAAGTCAAGAAATTCCAAGTTATGAAGATTAGCAACCCAACTGAGGTTATCCACATAGAGTGCATCATTGTATCCCATATCAAGGTAAAGAATACCAGAGAGATTTCCAAGTTGATGAGGAATTAATCCCCCAAATGAAGCCTTCCTGAGATCAAGATGTTTAAGACTTTTCATGAAACCCAAGAAGCTTGGGATAGGAGTACCTCCAAAATTATTCCCGCTCAAGTCCAAGTAACTCAAAGATTCAAGTTCAAGCAGTGCAGAAGAAATGCCGCCTCCCAACATGGACATATTCCCATAATTTCCATAGAAATTATTTGGATTCGTTAGGCGTAGCTCAATAACTTGACCAGTTAAATTGTCACATTGGACTCCCATCCACGAGCAACAGTCTGTCTTAACATTCCAAGAAGAAAGGCGGCCAGATGGATCGGTTAGGCCTTGCTTGAAGTGAAGAAGGGCTTGCTTTTCCTTTTCACTACAAACTATACCCGTATCTGCACCACATACAGTCAAGTTAAAGTAAGCAATTGAAAATAATAGCAGCCAAATTAAAGGATTCATAGCTCTTGCATTGGAAGAAGCCATTATTATGTGATTGATAAGAATCACACTTCTTGTCATAAGGCAAAGTAGGGCAAGCCAGCTAACTCAAACCATGGATCAAAGGAGCTTTATTGGTTTCAATTTTCTTATCTTTGATTTAGTCAAAACTTGTAATTTGCTACTATTATTACCAAGTCATCAATTTTATGACGTGATGGGTAGACTTGATTAAGTAGACAAGGAATCAAAGAAAAATTAGACAAACAAGAAGAATCCCTGTTCCTTCTCTTCAACTTAAATCTTATTATTATTTTTGTTATTATTAAGAAAATTAAGCAAATTAATTAATTACCATATAATATAATTATTTAATTGCTCATTTTGGGTAGCTAAATTTATTAGGAATAATTAAATTAAACTTTAATAATTAAAATGATTTTAATTAATTAAATAAAATGAATCTTTAATAGGCGGGACATGACCGTAATTACCTAAGACCGATGGTACACTGGTCTTTTCACGGAAAAACAAGTGCAAATTGGACACTGACGGAGGCAAAATTACGCGGGCAATTTCTCATACATTCAAGGGGAAAAAAGTCATTAAATCATGGAGATATTTCTGAATTTTTGAAATAATGATCCATATGTATTAAAATGTAGAAATTTGACAACATAATTAATTAAAATGAAATTTTAATCCCTGGACATGATTGGAATTACTTGGCAAAAAGACCAAGGGCATACTGGTCTTTTCAAATAAAAGCAAGGGGAAGTTGGACATTGGCAGAGGCAAGGGCAATTTCGCAGAAACTTAGCGGAAAAATAGTCACAATATTTCTGAATTATTATCACAATGGAAGCTTCCTGATTAGGCTTGTCATCTTTGCTTCATTAAAACGCAATTCATTTTTTCTTTTGATGGGAGGAAAAGTCTATATTTCCAAAAGTCATCAAGATTTAATTGAACCTAACTCATGGAACTAGTCTCCCGCCATAAGAGTTTACATACTTCTATCCACTCATTAAAGCGAGCTATCACGCGAAGTCTTTGATAGGTCCCAAGTGATGGAAAATAATGCCGGAGAGATATTTCCAAGTTGACGTTAAGGAGGAAGCAGTCCTCAAATGCAGCCTTGTTGAAATATCAAAGATATTTGCGGCTTGCCATGAAACTAAAATTATTACAGCTCAAATTCAAGTAACTCAAGAATTGTAGCGCAAGCTGGGAAGGAGCAATCCTGCCTCCCAAATTGAGCATATATAAAAGAATATTTTAGTTTGAGAAAATATCATAGTTGAGTGCTAATTTCATTTATTTGCTAAAAAGAAAAATTGATAGGTGAGCAATGGGATGGCAACCAATAACTTAGTTATTTATTTAATAGAATTTGATTTATGATTGGATGATTAAGGTTATTTTTTTAATTATTTTTCTTTAATACTAGCATCTAATTAGTAAATTACTTTTGAAGTTTATTCGGTGGATTTCAAGCGGGGTGTTGAGTATTTAGAAAAGAAAATATAGGATACAATAGTAATTTTTGCAAACAACCTACTGTGTACAACGAAGAACAACATGACAAGCACATAAGAGAGTTCGCAACGTTAAAAACAAAAACTCAATTTGCCTATTAATTTTAGTCCGACTCATCTCAAGAAATTCCAAGGTGTGAAAGTGAGCTATGTAACTAACGTTATTCACACAGAGACTTCAATTAAATCATAGACTGAAGAAAATAATACTATGAAAATTTCTAAGTTGACAAGGAATTGGTTTCCCAAATATAACCTTTCTGAGATACCAAGATATCGGAGACTTTTCACACACCCAAAAAAGCTTGGAATAAGTGTATTCCTTAGTTTCTTTGGCGTTGGTGACCGACTCATTGGGTGAATCTATAACATGAATGACATGTGTTTTTTGTTACTAGTTTGAATTGTCATATTTTGATTTAGTCAAAACTCTATAATTTATAATTATTATCACCAAGTCATATTATTATTATTATTATTATTATTATTACTACTATTACTACTATTATTAAAAAATTAAATCATTTACTTGAATTATCATATAATATAATTATTTTATTTTATTTTGAACAATTAAATTTATTAGGAATAATTAAATCAAATTTTTATAATTAAAATGTTTATTAATGTAATTTGCCCACCACTTGAATCTAATCAATTTGCTTATTAACGTCAATCCTACTCATGTACAGAAATTCCAATTCCAAGGTATGAAAACAAGCTATTCAACTAAGATTAATCACGTCCAGAAATTCCAATTCCAATTTTAATTCCAAGGTATGAAAGCAAGCTATTCAATTGAGATTATGCACAAGAATTCTTTGAATGAAATGATCACAGGCGAAGAAAAATAATGGTGGAGAGATTTCTAAGTTGACGAGAAATTAGTCCTCAAAATACAGTTTTGCTAAAATATCAATATGTTTGAGATTTTTCGTAGAACTAAAATTATTCCTAGTTAAATTTAAGTAGCTGAAAAATTCTAGTTCAAGCTGAGCAATGTTGCCTTCCAATTTGAGCATTTATAACAAAATATTTTAGTTTAAGAAACTATTATAGGTGAGTGTTATTTTCATTTATTTGCTAAAAAAGAAAAATTAATGGGTAATTGATTGCATACCAACCTATGACTTAATTATTTATTTAATTGAAATTAATTTATGATTGGATGATTAAGGTTCTTATTTTAATTCTTTTTGCCTTTAATCAAGCAGGTACTAGAAAACTCTACTGTCTAAGTTTTCCCTTTCATCCAGAAATAGAAAAGAAAAAGAAAGAAAAAGAACTGATACAACACAAGCGTCTAATTAATAAATTACTTTTGAAATATTTTTTGGTGGATTTCATGTAGGTTGTTGAGAATTTAGAATGAAACTCCAACTAAAAACTGTAATTAATGGAAACAAACTGAATCAGATAAAAGCCTCCGAGTTGAATACTCTGCAAATGCCTAGTTGTGATAACCCTAATTAGGAATATTAAGGAGTTAATTAGTTAAATTGGGGATTAGGGGCCAAACTGCATAAATTGAAGTTTTTGGGTTCAAATTGTAAATTGGAGGGGGCTAATTGCGAGGAAACAAAGTTGGGAGGGGCTGAATTGGAATTAGTCTAAAATTCCTGCAACACGGTACCCGAACCACTGTTACACCCATACCGTGATTGTCATGCCCCAACCCGAGCGCGTGACTAGCACTAGAATTGGCGTACTAACCCTATTAAGCCTCTAACCAGAACGACACAGATAAAACCTCTTATTAGAAAACTGTCCATATATACACATAACAAAACATATCTGATTGTACACAGAGCGTTTAGAATACAAAAAATAAGTATACAGAAAGTGTCCATACGATCAAGTCAATGCAGCGATGACAGAATCGTCGCAGGAACTACCACTACCGATCAAAACTGGGATCTGAAAGGTGGAGAGAAAAAATGGATGAGCATATAGCTTAGTGAATGACAGTACTATCCGGACATACTGGAACAGAAACCGAAATCATACAAAACATGTGCATCACACAAGTAACAACACGATTTACAAAAGTCACATTTCTGAACTTAATACATGTAGTTTCATATGCACAGTTATAACCAGAAAATCAAAATTAAATCAGAGTATCATAATATAACACATAACACATATCAAAATCAGAGCCACATGTAGATCTAGGGCTTTCCCGCACGCTACAATGGCCGACCATACGGACCCAAGGCACTTCCCACATGCTATGGTGACTCCTTGTACGGACTCAAGGCCCTTGGCATCCCGGAATCAGAATTAGAGTCACAGGTGGACCCAGGGCGCTTCCTGTGTGATAGTGGCCAATTGCCCGATGGCAGAGCCCCTAGCATCCCAGAATCAGAATTAGAGTCACATGTCACATATATTGCACTGGAATCCCGTGCTAGAACCAGAGCCAGAATCAGAATCACATTTATCACATCCTTGGGCCCAGGGCATTCCCCGCACGCTACGACGGCCAACCATACGAACTCAGGGCACTTCTTACACGATACAGCGGCCGACCGTCTGGTGGCCAAGTCCCTGGCACCCCTAATCAGAATCAGAGCCAGAACCAAAACCACATATCAGAATCAGAATCACATATATCACATCATTGGGCCCAAGGCACTCCCCCCACGCTACGACGGCCAACTGTATAGACTCAAGGCACTCCTCGCACGATACGGTGGCAAACTGTCTGGTGGCTGAGTCCCTGGTACCCCTAAGCAAAACCAGAGTCGGAACTAGAAAACCAGAATCACATACAATTTTATGGCAAATTACTTAATAATTAACACATGTATCACTAAGGCAGGCATATATAATGATTACAGAAATAATTTCAAGCTTATCATACTTTAAAATAGATGAATACATGTACTAAAATACTATCATAATTCAGAAATCACAACACCAAAACTAACAGAAATTAGAATACAAACACATGTACAGAGAGTATTGTCACTCACCGGACCTGTCAAAACCAAGCGCTGGATCTCAAACGAACAGGTCAATGGTCAAAGAAAACCTCCCCTGGAGTATTTACAATTATCAAACTACGAGTCAGAACCGAAACGGAATTTACTCCCAAAAGCTCACTCATCGAAAGTGACCCGGGACTCTCTCTCAGGTCTAGGCTCCTGACACGCATATTGAGACACCATTAACTCACAAATATTCAATACTCTACTTATCTACTCTCAAATTTACGGGACCCACCTTCACGATCCTCAAACCATAATGAACCGACCTCCAAAACGCTCGAATCGGCTTAACCTGGGTCAAAACTACATCTAACTCATCTCAATTTGCTACGAGACCCTCAAAATCGGATCCAAAAGGCCCACAAACCGTAGGAACCACCTTAAACTGGCCAAAAACCTCTAAAAACTAAGCTAAACCGGGCCAAACCCTAATCTTAAGCATCGATGCGTAAATCGAGGCTGGTTCACCCTGAACCAGTCATCCAAAATT